AATTTCAGAAAGTAATACAAGATGCACAAAAAAAGGCAGTGTACTGGATTTTTGTTTAAAATTGTCAAATTGGAATCAACCCAATTGTATTTACTATATACTGTATGGGAAAAAATACTTTAACAATTAAGTAAGGACCCATTTAAAAAACAGAAAGAACCACAAAAAACCCCTCACAGCATTCAGGAAATAAATTTTATTTATGTTTCAAGAAAGGCCCATAACACGTCTCCAAATTCTGTTATCAAAAGAAGTTAGTTTCACACAAAAGGGTATCCCATGTAGGCCTCTGAAGGAAACTAAATACTAGCCTATGGTTCAGTGACAACTTTTAGCTGTCCAAAAAAAAAAAACCCACCCCAAAAAAACCCCCAAAACCACACAGACTCCTCTCCTGCTTTTTTCCATCCTGTGTGTTGACATGGGTGATTTAACAGCGACTTTGATTGGAGAAATGAATACTAATGTTCTCCAGAAAAAAAAAAACCACACGCATGTCAGCAGCAGTCCCAAGTTTATGTTGGCTGACAATACTGTCAGAAATTCTAAATAATTTTAAATAACTCCTAAAAACATGGCTAAAAAAAAGGATATGAACACACAGACAGTACAAAATGTAACTGAATTGTTGTATTTCCAAATCAGTAAGCAGAAAAGCATTTCTGTAAAGCTCATTTAATCATCACCCAAAATTAATTTCCCTATACATTTTTCTCCCACATACGTTTTTTTAAATATTAAATATAAAATCTGAAATGTTTTCAGTGTTGAGAATTTACTGGTACCAGGAAGTTTGGAAGAATGATTTGTTTTGAAACCCATCAGGTAAGAGAATTAAGCACTCCTGACTGTCTTTTTCTACCCCACCCCTAAACTATGAGCACCATTCAAACACGCCTTGAGTTTTTCCTGTTGTGCTTTCAGACTGTAACACTACACTGAATTACCACTTTATTTTCTTTGCTGATTATTAGATTTCGATTTTCAAGTCTTGGTTTCTTTTTAAACAGAATAACCCAATCCTACCCCCCACCCTCCCAAAGAAAAAAACCCAGTATCAAGTGCTATTTTAGAAAATTAGACTTGCTGCACATGGCTCAGAAGAACAATATTAAGCTGTAAGTCAGGAAAATGTTACTAACCCTGTGCCATGCATATTTTCCACTTGTTGGAGGCTAGATTCAATAACTGGTGTCAGAGCTTCAAATTCTTCCACATGCAACATTCTGCACATACCCCAGACTTTTTTAAGGGCAACTAATGCATAAAGTCGAACGCTGAAATTATGGTTGAAACACCACTGTAGAACAACTAGGAGGGCTTTCTTCAAAGCTGGCTTCTAGAAAAACAAAAGTTTATTTCATTTATGTTAAGTTTTAACATACCACTTAGAAGTAGAAAAGCAAGAGTGGCCCAAGAAACAGTGGCTTCCTCAAAAAACAGCCTTTCAGAAAGTCCAAAGTTTTAACAGTACATTTATGTGCAAACACAGGCTTCAGAACATGGTCCTGATTTCCTTCCTTTCTTCCTTCTCTCTAGGGCACAGACCTACAGACCCACTTGTGTTTGGAAAAATGTATTAATTTGCTTTAAAAATTGTATTTTTGCGTACAAGAAAACCTCTATTAACTTCTGATTTTCTAGCACTTAGAAAGCTGATCTTGCAAATGTATGCAAACAGTAAAAAAAAAAAAAAACCCACCAGAAATGCCTGAATTGCTACAGATATGAAGTCACTGACCTAATGTAACATCTCACTGTATTTTATTCTCTAGTTTAAAGGTCAATAAAAAAATTGCGAATTCCAAATAAAGAATTCTAAATGTAATATGGACTAGCTACTGCCAAAGAACTCTGTATTTGAGTGCTGTTGTTCTATAGAAAGATCACCTTCTTCCAGGTTATCTCTGCCCAATTTCATGCAGATTAAACAAGAGCAGCAAGAAAAACAAACCCAGGTGCATCCACATGTTTAGTTAAAACTGGAGTAGCTATTCTAGGAAAACCTCACAGGTAATAACGCCCTATGTATCCAGAACATCTGCCATTTAGCTAAGTTTCGTAAGTCTAATATGTTACAGAGTTAGTGTTTTCCACACCAAAGGATACCTTAGTAGGAAGTAGATATTTAAAAGGTTTTGAAAATAGACTGTAAAAATGCTTTTTATTTCAGAAATCCATATACAGTGCAACTGAATGAAGAATGAACACTTTTAGTCAACTCACCTTCTCTGAGGTATTTTGAAGAACGATGTCGAAGTGCGATAACACTGATAAAAATGTGCAGATGCTTGTTTTAAGCTTTTCTTCATCCTAAAGCAAAAGAGAATGTAACAAGAAATATGCATATATAGAACATTTTTATACCCTGTAAGTTTCCATAGCACGTTCTGAAGATACAATATCAACACTATTAAAAATACTATGTGATTCCACAGCACAGTTTACTAAAAGACAAAGTTCGTATTACTAAGATTTCATTTTTTCTAGCACATTATTTGCTTTTTACTAACACATCAATCAGAACAAAGTATAGAGCAGTGTAAATGAGCTAAAATGCAACCCAAACTCACTGTATTGCGGTATCTTCCCAAACTCAGCATCTAGGGCATCCATGTGTTCCTGATAGCCCTTATACTGGCAAACGCAAAGAGTACTCTGACTCACTATGCCAGCTCTACTCTTGACCAGAGTAGTACATTATAGAAGGAAATCTCTCAGCTGGAAGAATTCACTTGTCTTCAGTCGCTTCTATATCACAAATTTCTAAATGGCTCGGACTATAGTCCAGACTCACTTCCAAGTTAATTTAATCTGCTCAACAACCCACTGCTTGTAAAGGAAAATTGGAATACATGGAAAATAATGTATGCAAATACAAACTGTACCCTCTTTGTTCAAATTACCCTTCAAGAGAATGCCAAAGTTCTTACTTACATAGCAAAAGCAATCCCAGAATTTATTAAGGAATTGGGGGTATTTATGTAGACTCAAGATAACAATCCATTCTATAAAGTATTTCACAGACGCCTGATTGTTACCAAATCCAGCCTGGAAAACTTTGTCAAGGGTTCCACACAAAAAATTCTGAGAAAACAGAATCAGATAATAATTTAGTATATTGTTAGAGTTATCTCCACGAAGAAAAAAAAATTCTAAATAAAAGAACACTCTCAGCTTTATCATAATACTAGAAATTTTTAATACTCAAAACATTTTAAAACAATCTAATTTCTGTATTACACTTTTCAAATATTCTATTATGAAGCAGCATTAGATGAAACAAAATTTCTCAATTTTCTGAGTATTCATAAAGTAGCAACATTTCTACTGAATGAAAAGCTTTAAATCAAATAGTCAGTACAGAGTTTTAGCTAGCTTTAACAGGAACAATGTAGTCTCCTGTAATTCACAAATCCAAGAAACAGTTTTCAGTGACCTCTAGAAATGCATCATAAATCCGTGACTTCAGACTCAAAGAATGAAACTACACAAAACTTCTACATCAGCCACAAAGATTACATGCCTTTTATACCCTGCTGTAATTTAACATATGCAGTTTGCATGACACCAAATTAAGTCTTGAAAGTAGGTATTTATTTAAGAATTCATAGTGAAGAGCAATACCTGGTCAAGCTTCGGAAGAAGAACTAAGAGTGTCTGCCATACTCGGTTTTTAATTCTATGCTGTAAAGAGTTTGCATAATAGCGTGTTCTAGCTCTGGATACCAGTTCATCCTAAAAGCAAATTAAAAGGTTTATTACCTATTCTTCCTTCAAAATTGAATACATGGAAATATACGTCACTGTACTGAGAGAGCAGCATCTACTGTACAGCTAGTATCAGCATTAAGTATAAAGTTAGGAAAAAATATTAATTTAATTTATTTAGAATTAAATTTTGAAGTTTGCCCATGAGAAGTTCAGGAAGTTGAAAAAAGTACAATTCCATTTAGCATTTTTACTTAAGAGCACAAAAATGTTAGATATTAAGACCCTTCAAACAGCAGAAACAGCGCCTACTGTGTATGAACAATTAAAATAGTACTACAGAAAATGGAGCATGAAGACTCAAGCTGTCAATTAGTTACATAAGAACTGAAGATCCTAAGTGAAGAGATGAGTATATAAATGCGAACATTTCTACTTTAGTGTCTACATGTAAAAAATGGGTTTAGTCATGCTATCAATTAGATCAGCTTGTAACTACAGCTGTAGTTTTGAGACAAAAATTGATATTCTGCAATAAGATGTTTTATGTGAAGGAAAACAGATGAGATAAATGGAGCTTTAAAAATATTTGAAATTCATGTTCTCATAAAACTTAGATTCTTTCCC